TAAAATTATTACTTGCCAAGAATGCTCGAATAGGAAAAGAAGAAAGAAAAGAATATGATAAAAAAATCAAACCGAAAGTAAGTTTAGTTTTCAGATAAGTGTCAAATATAGTCCAATATTAGTTCAATCTCGAATATACTTTGGATGAATTAAAGGATAAAATCTCACAATTACGAATTCAACATTTGGAGAAATTGTTGAAAGTGAATGAGTACAACTTGAGTGAGCAAGAAAAGACTATCAGAACTCTTTGTGAAAAGGTTTGTTTTACATACCTACTATTAATAATTTTTAAAGAATGAAAGCTTGGAGAATCAACTTAAAGAAGCTTCTCGTATTCCAAATGTTAAACAAGTTGTGAGAATTCCAAAAGCATCTCAAACCATTCATTCACTTAAAAAAGAATTGAATAGAATTGAAAAACAAATCTCTGAAATGTCCACTTGTGGAAAGAATATTGAATTCAAAGAATTAAATCAGCTACTTGAAGAAAGAAACAGAATTGAAGATTTAATTTTTGAAAATTATAGCGGAAAGTTGGATGAATTTGATAATGATAAGAGAGAGTTGATAAATGAAATTGAAAGAGTTGAAAATAGTTTGAGAGAACATGAAGTTAATTTTGAATGTTTCCAAAATGTTAACAAATTGAAATTGAAAAAGAAAGATTTGTTCAAGTCACTAGCTGAAATCAAAGACAAAATAGAAGATATTGAATATGCTAAAGACACACTTATATTCGAAATTAAAACTCAAAAAAGAAACAAGATTGGTAAAGTTGAGGAAATTGAAAGATTGGAGAAGAAACTTTCTGACATGATTCAGGAATTATCAAACATGCACGAAAGAAAATCAGAAATCCAAAACGACTTGATGGAGCTGATTCCTAAATTTCCTGAAATTATTATTGAAATGGAACAACCATTAGCAATAGATGGTGTTGTCATTTCATCATCAATGACACCAAAAGAAAAATTCAGAGTATTTGCACTTCAAAACTCTATTTTACTTTTAAATACTCAATTTTCAAATTATACTAACATTCAAACACTTCACACTGGATTATCAGTTGTTTACAAAGCAAGCAAATCTAATAGTCAGGTG